GGCTTCTTAGGGTCCACTTTTACTATGTGACCTTGAACTTCTGACCTCAAAGAGATCATCTTGCCTCAGTTTTGCTGGCAGCTCAGACCACAGGGGCATTTTATTTGTGCCTAGTTCAGTTAAACTAATCTTTTGTTTGTTTATTTATTTATTTATTTATTCATTTTTATTTTTAAATTAGCCACTTTCAGGCAGCTAATAGAAGGCATATGATGTTTCCTTTTTTCTTTTGAGACAGGGTCTCATATAGCTCAACTGGTCTCAAAACCGCTATGTGTGTAAGTACAACCTTAATCTTCTGATTCTCTTGCCTCTACCTTCCCAAGTGTTATTAGTACAGCCTGCACCCCCACCTGTTTCATGTGGACCCCAGAGTGTCATGCATCCTGGACAAGGTATGTTCCCAGCCTGCACCTGTTATTTTCACTATTCTGCTACGAAGTCTCCCTTTTCACCAAAATGTTAGGCATACCTACCTGTCTCCTGGTAGCTGGAAGGAGCCTACCGATTGTTTTGCTATTCAGTTTCCCTCCTTTCTCTCCCTTCCACCCTGGGAATTAAACCCAGGGCATTTTGCATACTAGGTACCAGGTCCAAAGAAACGCCTTTTCTCACATTCCAAAGGCAGGAGGGACGAATGGCTATCTGTGGTGTCTACTAGCATCACAAAGTGCATGCTGGCTCCCTCAGTATTACCTGTTACACGTGCCAATGTCCATGCTATCTTCCGAGCTCTTCTTACCCCTTCCCCATACCCTAAACTCCATCAACTCACAAGATTCTGTCCCCCAGCTACTCATTCTCCCTATAACCCTGCTATTTTAATCTGCTTGCTCTCTGTCTTCCCTACCCCTGCTCTCCTTGTAACAGGGCCCCAGATCCTAGTGGCCCCTAAACCTTAGCATAACTGACTTCATGATGGAAATACCATTCAGGTCATAAAATTCTGCATGTAGACAGCACCACCTACCAAAATAAAAACAAAGATCTAAACCATCAGAGTCCATAATTCTGGGAAAATGTCTAAATGTACAAACCTTGCCTTTTGGCTTCTATAGTTCCACTTCTGGCTACCTGTTGTTAACTGAAGCATATCAACTCAGGATGCGGCTTTTTGTGCTTAAAAAGTCACCCGGAGAAAGGCTCGGGGCTACCCTGGGATCCCAATCACCTGCTTTAGTCACTGGCTGGCTAATAAAGACTTCCTGCTGACTTAAACCCACGTCCTGGCAGTATCCGGAGTTCTCCCTTTCTCTATGCTCCCCTTTCTTCTGCTCTGTTTCTTTTATGGCCTGGTTCAGTCTGTGGTCTACTGCCATGTTCAGTCTGTAACGGTGAAAGTAAAATGCTGCAGGTCCCCAAGTGGTAGCAGTGGGCAGTGGGCATGAGACCATGGCAGGCCATGGAAGCAACCACCCCAGGTATGATGGGGAAGTTCAACCAATCACATCTGGTTAGGGTGTGGCCGCCTGTAGCCCAGGTAGAAAAACCTGGGTAGGTAGGCATGTGGGTGAGCGTGCGCGTGTGCGCTCTCTCTACGACCAGTGCTCACTGGACCATTTTGGATTTCGGACCTTCCACTCTTGTAGCGTGTGAGTTCCCCCCACCTTTTTTTTTCTTTCTTATTTATTTCCCCATTTTCAATTATTAAATTATATCTGTTGTTCTTGAGCTGGTCTGGTTATTTATCGTACCAACCGAATAAGTCAACACAGGTAGAGAACCTCCGAGTGGGTGGGGCTTGTCTCATAACAGGACATGACAGACCATTACATAGTTTACTACTTTCTTTCTCTGCTCTGGACTCTTCCAGATGTCTCTAGATGTTTTCTTTCTCATACCTATAACAACAACCTTCCCCTTAAGCGTTCTGTGGAGTGGTTATGTTGTTGGTTTATACACTAGGCAAGTGCCTTCCCATGGAGCTCCGTCATGGCTGTCTCCACTTTCAATAATCTTAATCTCCCTTTTCACTGTCAGTTTTTGCGGCCTCAGTCAGCATTCGGCAGGAGTCTCCTGGTTGTCTCCGCAGCTCCTCCACTCCTTATCCTTTGTTTTTAGGTTCTAAAGACCGAAACACGGGGCCTGCTTTCAATCTCCTGCTCAATTTCCTGTCCAACTTCCCTCAATGATGGACTGTGACCTCAAAGTATAGACCAAATATACCATTTCCTCCTCTGAATTGCTTTGGGGGCTAGTGTTTGTTATAGTAACAGATTGAATCTGGAACAGTTGTGCTAACCACTATCCCACCAATGTTTAAGCAGCGCTGGGAAACTGAACCGACTTCTAGTTGCTGAGGCATCAGTTCTGCCATGCCTGGTTCTCTGGAAGCTCCTTGCAGACCTGGAGGGGGTAGGGAATGTAGCTCAGCAGGATAGTATTTGCCTGGTATGCTTGAGTCCTAGATTCAATAGATGCAGGCAGTTCCCCAGGAAAAACAAACAGCCCTGTCCCCCCCTCATCCCCCACTGTTTCTTGTGACAGAAAGCCTGCAGCTGTAAATACTTTGTCCCAATGATGTCTTTATCTGTGTTCTCTAATCCTGGAGTGACTTTCTTCCAGAATTGGAAGCCAACCCTTTGAAATGTTATCATCAACAAGGTCCAGCCCTTGTTTACTACTCTCTGAGGAAGGGTGGGAACCTGTGACAAGCACCAGTTTAAGGACTTGAAAATCTAGCTGTGGTGCAGACCTGTGACCCCAGAGTTCAGGAGGCAGAGGCAGGAGGATCAGGAGTTCAATGTCATGCATAGCTACATACTGTTATGCCCAGATCATGGAATCTCCCCAAAACCAACTAGGAGACCAAGTGCTGTATGTAAAAGCAAAGAGCCTTTATTCTTACACAAATTTGCAAATTCAGACTCCTTGTGTGTCCAATGTATTGGAGTAGTCTAAAAGCCCCAAGCTTAGGTAGGGTTGGTTTTCTATAATAGCAATGGTGGGGGTGAGGGATTTCTAAGGTTCAGGACCCCTGATTGGCTGACATTTGTCTAGGGTGTCTTGGTGAAAAGAAATGGGTGTGTGCTGGCAGGTGATCCTATCTACCATGGTTGGAACATTTGGAATTTCCTTTGGATGGTCTGTTCCTGGGTGGTGCCTGGGTAGTCTCAGTTTGTGGTCTTTCTTGGAACCAGGTTAGGGTAAACTACTAAGACTCAGGCCTCTATTGAGCTTGTCATGGCTAGATCCTACACTTACAAGTTCAAGATCTACAGAAAAGCCTGTATCAAAACAAATATACAACCCCTAAAGAAAACAAAACCTAACAAAAAGGGCACAGATGATAAAACCATACCCTTTAAAGCCTTCAGCCCTGTTGCTAGGGAGATACAGGAGCCCTTGCTAGGTGTGATTTCCGGCACCTATGCAGTAGCTCACATTGGGCTCAAGAATGCCCTAAAAACAAGGGCTGAAGGGAGATATCTGCCAGGCCCTGGAAGAAACCCACCCTCATCTTGGCCATCATGGAGGAAGACAGCAACTAGGGGATATGGGGCTCAGTCCCCCTCCCTGAGCCTAGGGTAATCTTAAAGGTGGAGGGGAACCAATTTAATTCACGGTGGGCACCGGAGTGGAAAGTTCAATACTCCTGACTTCGGGAGGCCCCCTATTCAAAGACAGACCTGGGTCTAGGGAGCTGTTGTATGAGGAGCAGGCCACTTGTTTGTTCCAGCTGCCCAGCTAGCTTACACCCAAAATAACCACACAGAAACTGTATTAATTAAAACACTGCTTGGCCATTAGCTCTAACTTCTTATTGGCTAACTCTTACATATTAGTTTAACCCATCTCCATTAATCTGTGTATTGGCACGTGGCTGTGGTTTACCGGAGATTCTAACCAGCATCCTTCTGAGGCGGAGGATCCATGGCTTCTTCCTGACTCTGCTTTCTTCCTCCCAGAATTCAGTTCTGTCTCCCCTGCCTACCTAAGTTCTGTTCTATTAACTAAGCCAAGGCAGTTTCTTTATTCATTAACTAATGAAAGCAACACACAAACAGAAGGAACTCCTACACCAGGGGGCCATAGGGACCAAATTTTACCCATGGAATAACCAAAGAACAGTGGACTTAGGAATGGGACGTATAATGCATTCATTCTTAGTAATACCTCAGGGTTTCAAAAACTCTCCCACCATCTTTGACGAGGCATTGCAGGAGGACCTGGGGGAATATCAATTCCAAAACCAGAGGTAAGTCTGTTATAATATGCGGATGACATGTTGCTTGCTGTGAAGGACCGAGAAAGTTGCATGAAAGAGACTGAAAACCTGTTACACAACCTTGGAGATCTGGGGTACTGAGCATTGGCAAAAAAGGCCCAAATCTATCAACAACAGGTAACCTATTTGGGATATGTTCTTCAAAAATAGCAAAGATGGTTGACTGAGGCCGGAAAAGAGACTGTGTTAAAAATTCCAGATCCCAAAATGGCCAAACAAGTTAGGGAGTTCCTGGGGATGGTGGGATTCTGCCGCCTTTGAGTTCCTGGGTTTGCAGAGATTGCTAATCCCTTGTATGAGGTCACAAAAGGAAGCCAGGACTTTATATGGACAGAGGAGAGACAAAAAGCACTTGTAACCCTAAAACACAAGCTCCTAGAAGCTCTGGCCTTGGGACTACCAGATGTAAACAAACCCTTCACCCTGTTTGTAGATGAAAGCCAGGAATAGCAAAGGGAGTGGTTACCCAACTTACCGAGCTCTGGAAGCAATTGGTGGCCTATTTGTCAAAGAAACTAGATGGCCCCCTGATGTGGGAAGGTCATATTTCTATCTGTTGCTTTCATTGGTCAATTAAAGAAAACTGCTTGGCCCTCATAGGTTAAAACATAGGTGGGTGGAGTAAACAGATCAGAATGCTGGGAGGAAGAGGAAGTGAGCTCAGACTCGACAGCTCTGCTCTCTGGAGCAGAGGCCATACTCCCCTCTCCCGGCCAGACGTGATGAAGCAAGCAGCCAGGTCAGACATGCTGAATCTTTCCCGGTAAGACCGATGCTACAGTTTATTAGAGATGGGTTGATCGGGATATCAGAATTAGCCAGTAAGGGCTAGAGCTAATGGGCCAAGCAGTGTTTAAATGAATACAATTTGTGTGTTGTTATTTCAGGGCATAAGCTAGCCAAGCGGCCAGGAGCTGGGGGCGGCAGGAACACAGCCTGCAGCTCTTACTACAGCCCCCATGTCTACACATCATCCCAGCAATGGTGCTGGTAGACAAAGATGCAGATAAACTAACCCTAGGACAAAGCCTGACCATGGGTACCCCACATGCCATTGAAGGAATCCTAAAACAGCCACTGGCTGAGTAATGGCAGGGTCACTTACTATCAAGACCTGCTGTTAAATCCTGCTAGAATAACCTTTCAGGTACCAACCACACTCAATCTGGCCACATCACTGATGGACCCAAACTTGGAAGCTCCCCTCCATGATTGCGAGGGAATCCTGGCACAGGTGCATTGCGTCCGATCCAACCTTCAGGACACCTTGCTATCAGACATGGAAGAGACCTGGTTCACTGATGAGAGCAGGTACATGCGGGATGGACACAGGTATGCTGTGGTAGCAGTCACCATGACATTCAAGGTGATTTGGGTAGAAGTAGTGCCCCCCCCCCACATCAGCCCAGAGGGCTGAACTAATAGCCCTAACCAAAGCCTTAAACCTGGGAAAGGACAAAAGGATTAACCTTTACACAGATCGCAGGTACACTTCTGCCACCCTACACATCCATGGAAAGAGGGTTGTTAACCCAGAGGGAAAAACTATCAAAACAAACAAGAAAACCTAAGCTTAGTACAGGCTCTGTGGCTTCCCAGGAAACTGGCTGTGATGCATTGCCTGGGTCACCATACGGGGACCAACTTGGTTGCTATAGGAAACAACCTAGCAGACAAAACAGCCAAGGAGGTGACCCTAGATAGACTCCACCTCACTCTACCAGTCCAGATAGACCCAGGGCCATGCACCTCCCTCCTCCATGCCACAAACAAGAGGACACTGACTGGGTTACTAGAGTCGAGGTAGTTCGCAAAGAAAATGGCTGTTGGCACCTCCCAACTGGGAAAGTCCTCCTCCCATAATTGATGGGCCAACATGTACTGTACCAGATCCATCGCTCCATCCATATGGGGACCAAAAGACTCAAGAACTTGCTCCAGAGGTCACCTTCAAAGACATGCCAGTCAGCTGATTGACATATATATATATATATATATATATATATATATATATATATATATATATATATATAATGCAGGAGTGTCAAATGGTAAATGTTTACCATACAAGAGGAGATAAAGGTACCCGGGCAAGAGGAACTCAACTTGGAGTATAATGGGAGACTTCGCTGAAGTCAAACTAGGAAAATATGGTTATAAATACTTGCTAGTCTTTGTAGATAACTTTTCAAGCTGGACGGAGGAGTTCCTGACCAAACACGAGACTGCCTATGTAGTTGCCAAAAAGATTCTTGAAGTAATTCTTCCCAGGTTTGATGTCCCACACATGTCTGGGTCAGATAATGGACCTGCCTTCGTCTCTCAGGTAAGTCAGGAAATAGTGGCCACACTGGGAGCCAAATGGAAGTTACATTGTGCACACAGACCCCAGAGTTCAGGACAAGTTGAGCTGGTAAATCAGACTCTATAAGAGACCCTCACCAAATTAGCCCTGGAGACTGGTGGGGACTGGGTTGCCCTCCTTCCTTATGCTCTGTTTAGGGCTAGGAATACCCGCTATCAGTTAGATTTAACCCCCTTTGAGATCATGCATGGGCACCCTTCTCCTCTTATCCCCAGCCTAGTCTGAGCTAATTGCACCAGTCAGGGAAATAGATTTAGTCCAAAGTCTAAAAGCACTCTCCCAAGTTAGGGCCGAGATCTGGTCAAGACTAAAAGAGATTTACTCTACTGCTTACCTACCTAAGCTGCATACCTTCCAGCCTGGAGATTGGGTCTTGGTCCTGGCGACATCAACACCGCAGCATCAAGCCGTGCTGAAAGGGACCATACCTGGTGATCCGTACGACTCCCACCACAATCGAAGTGGATGGAATTGCCCCCTGGGTTCACCACACCCACATTCGACTATTCCATTAGTCACCAGTGGAGGAAAACTGGAAATCACACCTAGATCCCAGCAACCCCCTGCGATTAAAACTTCACTAAAATGGCAACCTTGCTACTGCTGTTGGCCCTGCTTCTGCTCCAGATGCCGGACTGCGCGCCACCAACCAACCCCCATCAGCCAGTACAGCAGACATGGACTGTATACATTCCCAGGGCTGGACTTTCACCCGCTGGAGCGCTGGCGGTTCATCCAGGTCAATGGTATCTTTGCCTAGGACACACCTAAAAATTTTGGTCAGGATGTTGGGGAAGGGGAGATTTTTATTGTGCAAAATGGAGATGTGAAACCAATGCTAGTCCAGGGCACAGTGTCAGCAGGATTTAATCCAAGTCACCTGGAAATATCCCCGGAGTTCTCCTCCTCCAGGTCCCCTAGGGATGATTAAATTCATCCCCGAAGGTAAAAATGCAGACTGGGTAACACCAAAACATGGGGACTGCGATTTTACGACTCCACTGGCTCAGATTACAGGGTGCTCATCTCTACAGCCCAGTCTTTCCAGCTATCCACGTTTTCTATAGGCCCAAACATTATTCCGAGCTGCCCCAAGGGTACTCGAGCTCCGGAAACCTTGCTCCCAGAGATATTTACCCCAATCCCGCATTTACCTTCCACGACACTGTACCCTGCACCGGTTTCACCTTCAGCTGACAGACTACTAAAATTATGCGTCTTTTGCATTCTTAAATAATTCAGCCCCTAATCTCACCACTGCTTGCTGGCTTTGCCTATATGCTCAGCTTCCATATTATGAAGGGATTGCCATCATATCTGATAATACCGTCACCCAAGAAGCTTCCTGTTGCAGATGGCAATCTCAGGTCTCACTCACCCTGCCTGGAATACAAGGTTATGGCACTTGCCTTGGAGAGGTGCCCCCCCCCCCAATCTAAGACAATATTGCAACAATTTCGTTGCCCTGAGTCAGCAGAAATGGGGTACATTGTACCCCCCCCCCCGAAGGTGCCTGGTGGGCCTGTTCCATCAGCCTAACTCCTTGTTAGTAAGTATAGTATAAGTATATGCATATACTTAGTATCATTTCCAAGTATTGGATCATAGTTAGACTCATCCCCGAGGTGGTCTACCATGACACCGATTTCCTAGCCCATGGTCAACAGCTCCCCTTCTCAGGACAAAGAGAGAGCCCTTTACCACCCTTACCTTGGCCATCTTCCTTGGGGCATGGTTGACAGGATTAGGCATGCGGACCGCAGGCCCTGTCACCCAACAGGCTGGATACCAGCATCTACGTAAGTCCATTGACGAAGACGTCCAACACCTAGAGTCATCTATGTTGAGCCCGGAGGCCTCCCTAGACAGTTTAGCTGAGGTAGCCTTACAAAATAGAAGAGGACTAGATCTGTTACTTCTTCAGCAAAAGGGCCAATGCACGGCCCTAGTAGAAGAGTGCTTCTCCTATGCCAATAAGACAGGGGTAATTAGGCAAACAGTGGCTAAAATACAGGACAGTTTGTTACACAGACAAAAGGAACCTGACGCTTCCCAAGGATGGTTTGAGTCCCGGTTTTCATCGTCCCCTTGGCTAACAACATTGGTAACTTTAAAGATTTAAAAACTTTGCAACATCAAGAAAAACAGGGTATCTAACTAGGACATTGAGTTCAAGCACAAACCACAAAATGTTCCTGGCAGCTGGCCACCTGTCAACACCCAACTTCGTGGTCTACCAGGGAACAGCAGAAGCAACCGCTTTGGGGAGGCGGGGCATGCTAGAGATAATTCACACCTGTTGTTATGTAAACCAGCTTCCTTGACCCAAAATAAACCCGGCTTGCGGTTTTTGCCTATATATGCCAGCCTCAATTGAGAATGGGGGCTTCACCCTACTGTGCTACGCTGAGTAGAGGTTGAGCTCCCAGCCTGGCATGGACTTCGCACGCTGAATAAACCTTGCTTTTGCATTCTGGACTTGACTGGATTCAGGTGGTCTCTCTGGGGGTCTAGACTTGGACACAACAAGCTTGACTTGTTTTGTTCTAGCAACAGAAAACTATGAATGTAGCCTGTGACCTTCAATTGGTATGTTCATTTCCTAGTATCATGTTAATGCAGTCTTTTGTCTTACTCCTGCCTTTTGGGGTCAGGGTGTATTTTGACCAATTGGAAAATAAATACGGGCAAATTTTCAGTACTCGCTGTAATTCCTTCCCCATACTATTCTGTTTCTTTGTCTTATTGTTTTCATTCACATCTTCATATTCTTTACTATATTTCTAAATCCCCATGCTTCTACCCTAGGAAAAGGTATTTTTGTCCAGGCTGGTCCCCGGCAAGAAATTTTTGCTTCTGAAATTCCTTTTTTTTTTTTTTTTTCCAAATTCAGGCTCTGGGCAACTGTTGACTGCCAAATCATCTTCATTATTTGTTATAGCACTGAACCCCAGGGACACCAGCCTCCTGGGATTTTTATATTTGCTATTTTAAAAATAGTCATAAAACTGGTAATAAGATATGAAAATTAATAACATTCATCTTTGTCTTTGAAAGTAATTACATAGTCACTGCACAAAGTTGAGAAAACAGAGATTAAACAAAATAGAGAAAATAAGATCAGTTCTATTGTGTTTCCAAAACTCTGAGAATCTCAATAATTTCTCTTTCTCTCTTTTCTTCTTGTGTGTGTGTGTGTGTGCACATCTGTGTGAATAAACATGTGTGTACATGCATGAGGCTCATGTGTGGAGGTCAGAGAACAACCCTTGGGAGCTAATTTCGTACTTTTACAATGTGGATACCAGAGGTGGAAAGAGAGATCATTAGGTCTGGAATCTAGTGCCTTTACCATCCCCCAGTCCTTGATAAGTTCTCTCTTTTTTTTTTTTTTTTTTTTTTTTTTTTGAGGCAGGGTTTCTCTGTATGTGTGTGTTGTGTACCAAACGTGTCTCAACATTTTTCAGTCCACATCTAACCCTAATTTTTATTTTATCTTGGAAAAGGGTTTCATGTATCTCAAGCAGGTAGCTGAGGATAACCTTGAAGCAATCAATCTTCCTGTCTCCGTCTCCGCTTCCTGAGTGCTGATACTAGAAGACACTAGAAGATGCGCTACTATACCGAACTTTTTCCTGCTTTGAATTACTTAGAAAATACCATCAAAGGCAGGTCATGAAACTGAAAGTGCTAGTCTCAGCGAAGGTAGGTTAAATTGTTTCTAAGCAGATGACTGTACACTGCATGAGTTTTCCTGAGGTGGTGCAAACACATATCTATTTTCCTCAAATAGGGCACTTAGTGGCAGAGCAAATAGATGATTCTTCCCAAGTCCTTCTTAGTGAATTGGTGGGTTTTATAGAGTTATTTATTATAATAGGTGAGGGGTTACCCACAGGGGCACGGGTGGCTGAAAAGCAACTACAGACAGAAGAAAATCTCACTCCAGCTAAAAGACCCCCAGTGTAGGGAGACTCTCACTCAAGTCTCGGGATAACATGACCTCCCCAGTAACTCACAAGAGACTGTCCTTGTTGCAGTCATGTGAGGTTTTAATCGATGAGAAGGGAACCAGTGCACTGGGGCCGAGACTCATAACCCATGCAAGGGAAGAGTTCGACCCTGAGTGACCAAGAGAAGTGGTTTTTATAGGAAGAAACCACAGCCCAGTAATCCGAAAGGTGCATGGAGGATGTCACAGAAAATCACAAGAGGGCAACTCTCTGCCTCTCAAGATCACTCAAGGTCATAATCAGCTAGTTCCTGAGTCCGGAGCCATTTTCCCAAAGATTATAGTAGGGACTATTGTCCTAAGGATGTTTTCAGAGAGCCCCACACCCCAACTGTATTGAGAACTGTTTGTTGGCAGAGCCCACCCCATACCCAACTATCTTGAGAGCTATCTGTTAGCGGAATCTGCCCCACATTCCAACTATCTAGAGAACTGTTTGTGGTTGGAATCACAAAAGGAACGATTTCGTTTGCATAGAGAACACTAGGTGTGTCGACTTGTGACCATTGCTGCCCCTGCCCCCACCCCAAGCCAAATTCCTCATTCAAGGGCTTTATAAGCCACAACCCTTTCGCTAATACAGTGAGACCTTGACAAGAACTCTGCTTGGTCTCCTTTCTCTTTCCCGCCCACGTCTTTTCAGATCGGGACCCTGGAATAACTGACCTGCCAGGCAGGTTACAACCCTAGACTAACTGACCCACTGGGTGGTTACATTCCTGAAACACAGTATTCCAAAAATACCAATGATAATCACAAGGGGGGAAACTCTGGTTCTCAAGATTTTTATTTTTGTGTGTGTGTGTGTGGGGGGGGGTTAATAGATGTCTTTATTTGTTCCTCTCTCCAACACAGCCCGTTTAAATAAATCTCCTTGATCTGATTTTCACCATTGTCTTATAAATTGGAGGATTGTTGCCAGGCAGTGGTGGCACATACATTTAATCCCAGCACTTGGGAGACAGAGGCAGGTGGATCTCTGTGTGTTCGAGGTCAGCCTAATGTACAAAGCTAGTGCCAGGACAGGCTCCACAGCTATAGAGACACCCTGCCTCGAAAAAAACACAAATAAATAAACACACATATACACAGACAGACAAACAACCAAACAAAATGAACTGGAGGATTGTGGATGAGCAGTCCAGCACAGCTTGTGAGGATGTCCGAAGCCCAGGCTCTGATCCCAGCAGTGACTAAGCTAAGGCCTAGTCACCAATGTGACAGTGTTGATAGGTGATGGGCCATTCTGAGGTGATGGACGAAAGTCTTCCTCCCAGAAGTGAACTCTTATTCTTGTAGGACTGGGTCAGTGATGGCGAGAACACTGTGAAGCATCTAGTTGCCTCTACCCCTGCCCTCTATTTCCCATGTGTACATTGGATGTTCTGACACACTTCTGTTTCCCGATGCTTCTGCCACCTGATCTACTAGGTTATGACCAGGAGGAGACCCTTACCAGATGCAGCAACCCAATCTTGAACTTTCCTGTCTCCAAAACTACAAGCTAAACGAATCCATTTGCTTCGCAAATGGCACAGTCTCTGGTATTCTGATATAGCAATGGAAAATGAACTAACACACTAATTCTTCCCAGAAGTGCTTTGTTTTCATGTGAAGTGTTATGTGGGAACCTATGGAGCTTGGGCTATGGTTTCTGATATCTAGGGAGCAAACTTTCCACCTCACTTAACGGTTGTACCTGCATTACTTTTCTGACTCAAACACCCTGACTCTGTATAATTTAGGCAGAATATGTTCAGAACCTCACAAGAGATTCTTCTTCTTCTTCTTTTTCTTCTTCTTCTTCTTCTTCTTCTTCTTCTTCTTCTTCTTCTTCTTCTTCTTCTTATTATTATTATTATTATTATTATTATTATTATTATTATCATCATCATCATTATTATTTTCTCAAGATTATTCTCAAGATTACAATCTAACTTTATCTTCAGCTAGTTCCTGAAACACAGTCACTGAACCAGCTAATCCTGAAAGACCCTCGAAGAGGACTTCCCTTAAGAGGAGACTCCCCCGAAGCCAAAAAACAGGCCGAGACCACATGGATGCAAATAGCAAGAGGTTTATTGGGTAAACACAGGTACCTGCGGGCGACAAAGTCTTTCGGAGGACTTGTGCGCCTGCCGGCTGGGAGGAGGGCTTTTTATAGGACAGAGGGCAGCAAAAAGCAAGTTTTACAGAAGCAGAAAAGCGTGGTTATCGGTCGGGCAGAATGAGGTGGGGGGCATGAATGGTTTTCCTCTCCCAGCATGGATGTCTGGCAATAGATATCCTGTTCTTATCTTATAGGTATCCTGTTTTTCAGCCATCCTGCTTTGTATCCTATCTTTATAGATATCCTGTTTTGTAGTCATCCTATCTCGTAGACCTCCTGCTTTCCTAAGCAAATGTGATGTTCTCATGAGAGCAGGCTAGAATCTCTCAAGTAAACAGGACGTTCTCCCGGGGAGCATGCTAGCTGCGGGTTTTGAGGAGGGGGTCTGTAGGGTCTTTCAATCCTAGATTTCTGATTCTTCTCTTCCTGCTTAGATTTTTGGTTATGTTCTTCCTGCTGGGAGGGGACCTGGATTTATCCAGGGCTTTCTTTGGGGATACCTGGATTTATCCAGGCCTTTCACAGCATGAGGACAACTCCTGAAGACTGTCCTGGGGCTCCCTGAATAATCAACAGGCAGCTCAGTCAGCTAGTCTCCTTAGCAACTGCTCACTGCTTGTACAGGGGTGGAGCCCTGTGAATCTTGCAACTATCAGGAACTTCCTGAGTACTGTAAGATTTATTCACTTCCTGAGTCTATGGACTTCCTTCTTCTTTCAAAGAAAACAGCTACACACACAATATTCTACCCCTTCCTCCATTTTTTTTTAAGGCAGGATCTCAGTCTTGCCCTGACCAATCTAGCTCCAGCCTCCCAAGTTGCTAAGATTATAAATCTGTGCCACCAGGCTTGGCTGAATGTTTATATATAATTTTTCTTGTTCACTTGTTTTTGAGACAGGGTTTCTCTGTGCAGCCCTGGCTGTCTTGAAACTCTCTCTGTAGACCAGGCTGGTCTTAAAACTTAGAGATTCACCTGCCTCTGTCTCCCAGGTGCTAGGATTAAAGGTGTGCACCGCTTCTGCCTGGTATATTTGCATTGTTTTAGCTCCCTGTTCCACTATGTTCTCTGGGCTTTGGAGGTGGTGATATAGATACCTGTTTATTTTCCCCGTTTATGGTTGAGTATCACAGCAATAGCTATTTATAAGACTGTTTATAAGTCTCTGTATTAATCACTACCCGCTGCGGAAAAAAAAAAAAAACAAAAACCAAAAAACAGTTTTCTTCTTCATGTGTGATGGATGAGTGAGCTGGGGGTGGGAGCGGGGCAGACCAGGCTCTCCTAGTAACCTGCCAGAAATCTAAGCCTTAGTTTCAGTTCACTTAAAAGGAACAGAGCTAAACAGACAGACCTCAGAAAAACCACAGCCTTCTGCTGTCTCAGCAGGCACCCCAGGGCCCCTTCTGCTGGCTCAGCAGGCTCCCAAAGCCCCTTTGTTGGCTCAGCAAGCGTCCCCCATTCTCCTGATAACTAAAGATAGCTTTCCCTGTCCTGCTGCTAGAAGGTCCCTAACCACTAGGACCTTCGACCAATCAGCTCCCATACTAATCTTTCTTCCATCGATCAGTCCCAGATGAATCCTTTCTCTCTGGATTTCCCCTGTCTCTGTTTAAAAGGAGCTTGTGACATTCTTTGGGGGTCACCAAGTGCCATCCCAATGTTGGAATTAATAAAGTACTCTTGTTATTGCAAATGTGGGCAGTTGGTCTTCTTTGGGGGCTTCTCTCGGACTCTAACAGTGGATAGCACCAATAATCAACAGATGGAAACTCAAAGCCGGGTGGTGGTGGTGCATGCCTTTAATACCAGCACTTGGGAGGCAGAGGCAGGTGGATCTCTGTGAGTTCAAGACCAGCCTGGTCTACAAAGCGAGTTCCAGGACTGGTACACAGAGAAATCCTGTCTCAAAAACAAAACAAAACAAAACAAAACAACAAAAACAAAAACAAAACACAAGTAAACTCAAATGCTTAAAATGTGTCTTGGGATTGGGGATATAGTTTACTTTGTAAAACTCTTTCTTAGTATATAAAAGCCCCTGGATTTGATCCCCAGCATTGCATAAAATTGAAGGTGGTATTTGTCTATACTCTCAGTAGCAGGGTGGTAGAGACAGGAGCATCAGGAATTCAGAGTCATTTTAGCTACACAGTGAGTTTAAGGCCAGCCAGCCTGGGCTATGTAAGACACTTTCTAAAAATTAAAAATTAAAAAAAAAGGAACAAGAAACACATCTGTTGTGTGGACAATACATTTCCTGGGGAAATACAACACACCTACTCACCCCAGACGAGAAGCCCACAACATACCAAAGTACAACTTGGTCAACCAATCATTTTTATTGGACTTTCTTGTAGGAATATGGTGAAGGGCTACTTAAAGGAGCAAAAATGACTCAAAGACAGCATCATCATCATCAAAGCCTACTCTGTTGTCGGGGATACACCAGAGAAGACGATTTGGACAAGGGTTTAAGCCAGTAGAAAGACTTTACTAGCTGACTATCAACTACAAAGGGTGACTACATTGTGGAGCCCAGTGCAGCATCCAGCCTTTCTCAGTGGGAGCTTTTAAGCGCAACCTAGGGTTGACATACTTCAGTTAGCCAGAAGCAGAACCACAGAAACCAGAAAACAAGGTATTTCTTTTTCTTTCTTTCTTTTTTTTTTTTTCCAAGACAGGGTTTCTCTGTTATATACCTTTAAAGCCTGTTCTAGAACTCGCTTTGCAGACCAGGCTGGCCTTGAACTCACAGAGATCTTCCTGTGTAGGAGCAGTCTTTTTACAAGGTCAAAATAAGTTCAAGTTTCTATTTACTGCAAAACTCAAATTGATTTGACAGGTTCCACACCCTAGGGAATTTGAGTGTACCCTGAACTCTGCCCTGATAAGATAAGGTATTCAGTCAAGGCATCTTGAGACTGCCAAAATGTGGTATCAAATAATCTTATCTGTTGTCTGCTTCCATCATTTGCTTGCCAAGTCCTTATGGGACCAAATTCCTCTGGAAATCTCCAGTGTGTACCTTTTTCTCCTATAAAGGGAGTCTTGAAAACTTCACCCACACAATTCTCTCAAATCCTGCTTTAGAGAGTTAGTCCTGTGCTCAGTAAAATAAAGCGTGATTATCTGGCAGGGTTTCTCTGTGTAACAACCCTCGCTGTCTTAGAACTCATTATGTAGACCATATAGGCCTCGGACTCATGGAGACCCACCTACCTCTGCCTCCCAAGTGTTGGGATTAAAGGTGTGCACCACCACCGCCTGGCTTTGATTAACTGGCTTTAATTTGGGTAATGGTCTTTACTCTTGCATAGTGGAATTACTGTTAATATATTTAGAGACTTTCCTGGAACTGTAGACTTTGATGGAATACGTCTTTGTTTTTGTTTTGGAAGGTGGTACTGTTATGGCCTGAATGGTCCTTCTATCATGGGGTCATTTGTGCTACGGCTGGGGGCCTACTAAGGTCTGAAGTCCTGTTACATGCTCCAGCATGGCTCACAAAAGCTAGGAACCTGGGGCATACTGCAGAACCTACAGGCGGCCCAACAGGCCAGAGAGTGTCCCTTCCAGATGGTTTAGTTGGTCTGAGCCTCTTTCACGCAGGTTGTCTAGTTTCTTCTTCCAGACTGCTTGGCTAAAGTCTACTTCTTCCAGGAGGCTGGCCCTGCAACTTGGCTTGTCTGAGAGTGACTCTCAACAGTCTTTGTTGTTCACTCTTAGAAGGGAGGGAGGGAGGGCTAGTGAATTTGATCAGTTTCAGGGAATTCTTGAATCTGTTTTGAGGTCTACTTTCTGCCTTTCAGAATCTTCCCTGGGAGCTGGAACATTTCAGTCTCTAGGAAACTGCTATACAACATCATATCTGATTAACAAAACAATAACCAATGTGGTTTTCCCACTGGGGCCTATGATCTTTTAAGTCACAGTTTTGGGTTTGTTTTGTTTCGTTTTTAAACAGTTTCACTTGGTAACCTTGGCTGGCCTGCAACTTGATTTATAGATCAGGCTGGCCTCCAGTTTACAGAGATCCACATGCCTCTGCCTCCTCCCAAGTGCTAGAATTAAAGGTGTGTACCATGCCACGCCCTTGTTTTATAGTACCAATTCCCAGTTCCTTTCAGTAGGAACAGACTTAAACCCATGGTAAAACAGCTTGTGGTAGTCATAACAATTATACCACTATTGCACCAGGAGTATTTTTCTAGCCTGGTATGTTGGTCCTGTAGTATGTAGTCCCGGGAGGACTGCTGGTGACAATCAACCCCTAGCATCCTGCATAACACTTTCAGGTACTATGAAAACCAGGTATCAAATCCTATAGTGACTCTAGCAATAGAGACTTACCAACTAGTTCTGGCAAAACCATGTGGTGACAACAGCTTCATGGTTTGTGGAGCCTCCAGGCCTGCCCTGCCAGAAACTTGTATGGAAGTATTTTATCTCTGATACTGGAAGTCACACCCTTCCCACCACCCCCAAATTTTATGGCTTGCGAGAGTGGTCTTTCCCACTTATACAAGTGCCTTAATTTAAACCCCTTAGCTGCTGACTTTATAGCTCTTTCAGATACTTTTTCCAATTTGTAAGACACTCAAGAGTTACGATTATGTGATCAAACCTTTGTACAGAAGATAGGTCATTGTCCTCTACCCAAGTGTCAGTTCATTTTGGATGGTTAAGCCAATGGACAGAGGCATTTCCTT